AAAAATTTACAAAAATAATGAATATTGGACAAAAGCTGAAGATACTGCAGCAGATTTAGAAACATCAGATCTTTTTACTGAGACAGACCTAAATTTACAACCAGAATTGGATTCTGATTCAGATGTAAAAATCTTTTGGAAATGTTTTGAAGATGCAATGAGTTCAAATATAAAAGGTGATGATGGTCAACAAAGAATTTTGTCCATAATTGCTGAAAAATTTTCATATTCAAAATTAAATGAAAACTTAAAGTTAGCAATAATTTAATTAATGCTGCAAGGATACATGCATGATTGTATGTAAGTGGAGGATCAATTTTAGAAGAAGATCATGTGAAAATGATAAGAAAAAGTTATCAGATGAACAATTAAGAGATTTAGAAACTCTTCTGCATGATAAAAATAATGTTTCAATGAGTTCTTACAAAACAGATCTAAATACAGGTAAGCCAATTTTATATTTAAAAGCATCAAAAAAAGAAATGTGGGAAAAATACAATGAAGAATATCCTAATAGTTTGAAAAGAACAAGTTTCATGTGTCGATTAGATGGTCAATTTAAATATAGAGAGGATTTGGGTGGTTTGTGCATAACTTGTGATTTTTATGGGTATCAGGTTTTTAATTCATTAATTGAATCAATTAACAACTCACAGTTATATGGAACAGAAAAAAAAATAATTTGATTAATAAAATAGAATTACTTAGACGACATTTAAAAAGCAAATTAGATGGTGAAGTAATGGTTTTAAATAATGGGCTTCTTGTGCATAATTCTTGCTTAAATCATTGTCTTCTTTATGCCTTTGGAGAATGCACAGAAGAGCATAATTGTTCATGCAATAATTGCATGTCTTTATTTACAGTTTTAAATGAAATTAAGAAAACTGCTATAATTAACACAGAAATATTAGAGGAATATCAGAATAAACTTTTATATTATTTATCCCATCAATTGCATAGGATATATTTAAATTCATAATTTAATGCTAAATTATGTGAATTAAGTCATGATGATGCAGTGTTAATTTGTGACTACAAAATGAAGGTTAATCCTAGAAGTCCTCATGAAACAAAAAATGATTTTTATGGAAAAGAAGGTTGGACCCTTCATACAATTCTAGTAATCACCAAATCAAAAAATAATTATGAATTATTGATAAGAGCATTTGACCACTGGTCTGATGATGCTTGGTTTACTGCATCAGCATTTGATGTTGTTCTACAACAATTAACACAACTAGATGAAAACATTAAATCAATTAAAATATTTTCTGATAATGGTGGGCATTACCATAATTCAGAATTAATGGTGATTGCTAGTTTTTGAATATAACAAAATGGCAATTTTTGGAACCAGGAGAAGCTAAGACCATTGTAGATTCTCATCATGCACAACTATCTCATGGATTTATTAGATAGATATACAAAATTAGGCCATAGCATTTCTAGTGGAGAAGACATTATAATTTCTAATGAATCTCTTGCAGGTACTTCATTTGGCAAGTTAACTCCAAATTGTAGTAAAAAAATATCAGTTGGAACCATTCCAGGAATTTCCAATTATTTCACTTTTATGTGGCCAACTGATGAAGAAGAAGGAATTATAAAAGCCTATGAAATACCTAATTATGGATCACCAAAAATTTATTCAATATCTGATATAAAAAAACTTCTCAAAAATAATAATATAAGCCAACCAAATGCTGTAATCAGTGACCAAACAATACCTCAATCAGAATGGAAAATGACCATTCCTACACTAATTAACCCATCCATCCAGAAATTGAAAACTTCAGAAGTAAGATTCATCCTTAAAGATAAGAATTTGGATTCATCTGCAAATAAATTAGTTATCAAAAAAAGGTTAGACCAACATAGCAGTTATGATTTATTATATAATTCAATGCTACTGGGTGATGATAATGATATTAATATTAATATGAAAAATTTATTAAAACCTGGATTTGCTTTGAAAAGCAAACAAATATTTGGAAAAAAAGGTGGTGGCAAAAGAATTAATTTATAAGTGCTTGAAAAATTAAAGGAAACGTTTTTAGCTGGTAATATAGAAAAAAATCAAAAATTATCAGCTGAAAATATGTTAAGAAATCTTCAATCATATGCTGAAAATAATGAAATTGAATTCAATAATATTCCTTCACTCCAACAAATTAAGTCATGGATATCCAGGTTTAATCAATATCATAAAAAGCAAGCAGCTGAAAAATAATGTATAAAAATATCATTTATTTATTTGCATTAAAATGAATGAAAAAAATTGTAAAAAATTTTTTAAAAAATTCACCTAACATTAAAAAAGTTCTTTAATTAGTTGGAATTTTTTTTTTTAAAAAAAAATATCAACAAGTAAAAATAAATATATGCTAAATGACCATTATCCTGGCAAATTTAACCAATGAATGTGTGAAATATCATACCAAATACCATGTTCATCAAATGTTAAAAAGGTTCTTCAATTAATTGAATTCTTTTTTTTAAATTTTTTTTCAAAAAAATTAAAAAAATCAATGAGTAAATAAGTAAAAATAAACATGCTAAATGACCATTACCCTGGCAAACTTAACCAATGAATGTGTGGAATAACATACCAAATAACATGTTTGCCTAACATTAAAAAGGCCCTTCAATTAATTGAATTCTTTTTTTTTTTTTTTTGAAAATCCTCTAAAAAAATCAATAAGTAAATAAATAAAATAAACATGCTAAATGACCATTACCCTGGCAAACTTAACAAATAGATGTGTGGAATAACATACTAAATGACATGTTCGCCTAATGTTAAAAAGGCCTTTCAATTAATTGAATTCTTTTTTTTTTTTTTTTTTTGAAAATTCTCCAAAAAAATCAATAAGTTGAAAAGGAATCTTTAAAGAAAAATATTATAAAAATATATATGTTTAATAATATTCATAATAACAAATATTTCCAATAAAAAAAAAGGTTTCCTCCACTCTTGCTATAATTTTTACTAATGGTACTTCTCATTGAATTAATCTACTTGATACAATAATTTTCTGGAAATATAAGCTTCTCTTATTTTAATATTAATAAAATTAATTTCAAAAATATAATTCATGAAATTAAGACTATATACATCAAAGCTAATCAACTTATTTCAAATCTATGGCAAAATAGATTACTTAGGCAATTGTTTATGAAATATTAATACACAGTGAGTCTTGGTATAGTGGACCTCGGTATAGCGGATTTCTAATAAAACTCTCAGTTTAATGGATCAAAGCTCAGAACCATCTATAAGTAAATTCTCTCGGTTTAACAGATTTACTAATTAAATCTTGAATTAATCTCGTATAACAGATTTTTGAAATTTTTGTTCTAATTGCCCAAATTATCTGCTATACCGAGACTCACTGTGTAATAATAATAATAATAATAATTCTGTATTCAATACAAATGTTGTTACACAATAATTTATATATCAAAAGGACCAAAAAATTCTACATCCCCCATTATAAGCTCTTTTTCTTTAAATACAATGAACAAAAAAATTATATATCAATAATATTTGAGATTTTTACATATATATTTGTAAAAAAAATTATGTAGTGGAACAAAAGCATAGTACAACTTTTCGTGCAAAGTTATCAAATTGGACATTTTTGTGTCAATTTTCCCCCCACCAATCACTATGTACAACTCACTCATTCATAGATGGATCATCAATTAAATTATTTTTTCAGTGGGTGGTAAATGGTATTAAAAAATATGCATCGAATATTGGCAAGGAAAATATAAAGGATCACAATCCTGGTATTAGATAACAGATGAAGGTAAGTGCAGTAATATATTTATAAGAAAAATGGCAGAAGACTTCACTTTTTATGGTATGTGATTGAAGTATGTTTTTGGTATGTGTTCAGGTGGTGTAATCTTCAGAAATATCATATATAAAATATGGAAGAACACAACACTTTTTGATGATATGTTTTTGGGTATGTGATCGATGTATAGTATATGTGTAGTAATCTGCATAATATATATAAGATAAATGGCAGAACACTACACTTTTTTCAGGTAGATATATACCCACTTTAATGGTATGTCTTTGGGGTGTATAAGTTCAGTAATATTATATAAGAAAAACTGAAATTATATACCCATCTGATGGTATGTTTTCAGAGTAACTAACTTTGGTAATATTATATAAGAAAAAATGGTGTCCACCCAAGGTAAAATTATTACAGATATATATTATATTATAAAAAATCAGTGTCTGGTCAAGGTAAAATTATTATAGAAAGGATAGTTATACTTTGGATAGACACAAAAAGTATATATAATTTGAAGAAAAATCAGTGTTCGGTCAAGGTAAAATCAGTGTCCACCCAAGGTAAAATTATTACAGATATATATATTATAAAAAATTATGCTTTGGATGGACACGAAATAAATGATAACAATTTGGCACTATGTGCCTCATCATCAGATGATATTTGAATGAATTATATGAAGCTAACAACTGCTAACAATTCGGCATTATGTGCCTCATTCTCAAGTAATATAATAGATAACAATTTGGCACTATGTGCCTCATTCTCCAGTGATATTTGAATGCATCATATAAAGATTACAAATACTATTTTGGCACTAGGTGCCTCAAACCTGGCCCTCATTGAGGAATTAACCAGAAAGCTAAGGCACTACATGCCAAGTTCGGGCATAGCCCTCACATTGGGCCCACAAATGGTAACACATGACTGAATGCATCATCAGCATATTTTTTTGCTTGCGTGACCCAATGACAGAAATTGGCCATAATTACCAAACTGGCATACATTATATGGCATATGGGTGACAACAAAAATTTGCTACAATTAGTGTTTGAATCCGAATCTCAAATGAGACTCATTAAGGGGTTACACACTATCAAAGTAGCTTAAAATCATGTGTTCACCCATGATCTTGATAATGTGTAACCCCCTTAATGAGTCTCATTTGAGATTCGGATTCAAACACTAGCTACAATTGTCATTCGAGTGACATGAAAAATAGAAAATTGCATGTCAAGTCACCTGCATATCCCAATAACTCTCAGATGGTGATACAAATGCAATCTACACGTCACCTGATAAGTATACTATAAACGTCTCATCTTTGATGAGGCAAATGCAAATTGCTTGTCATACCCAAGACTATTATCCCTTAAACTGTCCACATTTTCAAATAAGGTAATTTCGAGAAATTTATTGGTAAATTACAAAATTCCACCAATCAAAATTAACCAAATCGCACAATAAAAATTTTATTATGAATATATCAATTTTTAAGGTAATGATCAACACGGACATGGTAGACTTTTTACAGTTTTACAAAACCCATAATAGATGATAATAAAATTCGAACTTACATTCTTGCTAATGATGGCTGAATTTCTATATATAGATCAATGTATAAAATCTCAAATATCATTTGTTAATTAGAAAGCATGATGATCAGAAAAAATTTTCTATATATATAAAAAAATTTGATCATACAAATTTGTACAATAGCCAGTTTAAGGGATAGTCTAATCTAAGTTGTTTTTTGTTTATATAAACAAAAAACGACTTATGCCACTTTATCACATTGAGATTAGATTTGACAAGTTGATCTAAAAAAGAAATTTTTAAACTTACATTTATTGGATTTTAGCATTTAAAAGATTTCTTTTATCATGGTTTTTTTTTAAAAAAATTTTTTAATATAAATATTTATTTTTTCATAGTAGAAAATGCTATTATTGTATTATTTTTCAATTGACTGTTTGTTTGAATATCTGTTTTATAGTCCAGTTTACATAAGAAAAATGTTAGACACAAATTTTCTCTTACAATAGTTAATCCTTTCTTCAAGATACTTCTGATAGTATTATAATTCGTGGGTCCCATAGTAGACCTGATGCAAATGAGTTTCATATTAACTATTTTGTCTAGACAAATATCATGGTCACATTACATTGTAACACAATTGTGATGCTAAACAAACCTGAAATTCTTGGTAATACCAATGTTCACTTTGTCTGGTTTTGTTGCAGTATGCCCATATACTATTTTTCAAATAATTTATTTAATAAAAATTTTTAACGATATATAGACAAGTATTCAAATTTTTATAATATTATTAGCATTCTTTCTTTTCAAAATATGCATAAATGCTTTTTTGGATTTTTGGCCCCATAAGTTTAACAATACCTAAATATTTTCTAAAAAATGTGCAAATCATCAATTTTAAATTTTTCATTATTTTTCTGTTGCTCAAAAAAATTAATAAATGTTTCTAAACCATTAATTGTATTTTTTACTGGTATCAAAGGTATTTCTTCATCTGATGATGAATCATCACCATTTTCACCCATTTCTTCAAATTGGACAAGACTTATAATTCCTTCATCATTAAGATGTTCTTCAGTTGATACATTTTGATCAAAACTATCAAAATATTCATTTACATCATCAGCATCTGGTAATATAATAATGTTATTCTCATTATCATCAAGCTCTGAATCTTGAATATTCACATTGACCATAATGATATCATTACTGTTTGGGAGAATTCCTGTCTTAATCCAACAATTTTGAATGATTGTTTCAGTGACATTATTCCAAGCCTCTGCAATAAAATAAATAGCTTCTTTTACATTCAGCTTATCTCTAAATATATGCTTCACCATCTGATCTAATTATATTCCAAAACCTTCCATTTTTTTAAATAAATTATTAATTTAAAATCAAATGAATTCCGAAAAAATTTTGAGCAAGTTTCATTTGATTATCTGCTACTTATTCAAATCTCTTAAAATGGTTAGTGTTTGGATTTATGTTAATTTCAATATAACATCATTAGTATGAATATATAAAGTTCTTGCCACTGTCTTTCTGAAAGTCTTCCCTTACACAATGAAATAGTTGCATCATCTAGGTCCTCAATTACATATCAAACTCCTTCATCTAAGTCTATTTTTATCATTGCTGCTTTTGTGTTGTTACCTGTTCCTTCTGAGGTTGTTTCATCATAGTCTTCTGACTCAGGATATCAAATAGAGTGCTTGCTATCTCCTGCTGTCTAAACTGATTCTGAATACATGGATTCTGAATTGCAGCCTGATTCTGTCTCACTAGTTAGAACTGATTCTTATTTGTCAAATTTGCTTAAAATCTACTTTGTGTATATCTTAGATGTTTTCTTCATCTTCCTTTCACTGTGGATCTTTATTTCAAACCAATATTCTCATCTCAACAAATGTGTAAAAGGTTTAATTTTCCTCATAAATGATGAAATATATTTACTCAGTGCTTGGTACTTGTGACCCGATATACTTGTTTTATCTGGAAAATGGATGAGTAATGTAATTACTAATATGTAATTTTTCTTTTAACAAGTTCTCAGGTTTAGTAAATGAAACAATATAAAATAAACAGGATTCATGAATACCTTTCCACAATTTTATACATTGTGAAATACATCATGCCTCAATGTAATGTATTATTTATTTATACAGGACACAGTAAAGATTACAAAAGCAAAATCCCATTCACTATGAATTTATATGTTTAGGAAATACAAATGTGCCATAGTGGTAATTCTAACATCCCCAACACTAATGATTCCAATAATCTAACATCATCTAATCGAAACCTAAACCTAAATACAATCACAGCAGAAACAATACTTATAACTAACACCACCTGATATAGTTGGTGAATAATTGATAACATTAATAATAAATACACAGTGAAAACTTATGATAAAATTCACGTGATATAAATTAAATGCAAAAAAAAATTTTTATTTAATAATTTTAATAATAATAATAATGATAAACATCAAATAAATATATATGTATATAAAAAAAAATTAAAAAATATTAATATCATTATTGACTTATAAATTCGTCAATTCGACATTGTTTTGCTTCTTGGGTACTTCTATAACCGATAAGAAATAATACACTACGCGTCATTTATCTTATAAAATTGGACTAGCCAAAAAAGGCAAGTATCATTATTATCCGCAGCCCATGCAGACAATTTCCGAAAGGTTACACCTTTATCCCTCAGTTCGTAGGGATAGAGCCTCAGCCTGGGAAAACATATGAGAGGAATATCCCCTTATCAATCTTATTGATCTTTGGATATCATTCGGATAATTCACTCAAGATCTACAGACCAGGGGATCAAAGATATATCCGTGCGTTTATCCCTAGCCAGGCTAAAGGTGTATCACTCTGAACACAGGGATAAAGGTCAGACCTACCCAGAAATCTTCCGCATATGGTGATTATCCGTGACATAATAATAATAATAATAATAATAATATTATTATTATTATTATAGAAAGATTTAGTTTTGAAAATTTATCTGTTAAACCCTAAATCTGCTAAACCGAGACTCAGTGAAAAATGAACATCTTTAAATTCTTCATCTACATGATCTCCAATTGTTGTAAACAAATTTTTTATTTTTTTGTTAAATGTTGAACTGGAATGAGTTTTTTTTAATGGTGGATTATTATTATTATAGTTAAAATCACAATATAATTACAACAAATTTTAAATGCTATTTTTTTTCTTTCTTGTGTCTCATAGATTCATTGAAACAAGGTTTAACTGTATTCCCTTACCTCCTGGTTTTTTGGAAACATATACTTTTCCATTGGTAGACATTGATGTTAAAGAAGATGATATATATATGGATTTTAGATATATTATTAATGCACAATTAAAAACCTGATACATGCTATTGTAACAAAAAAATTAATGTTTATTATATTTTTATTTATTATAATATTCAAATATAATAAAATTAAGAAAAAGAAATTCTTTGCATTTGATCCATTTGATCATAACCAGTTAAAAACGAGTGAACTTTATTATAATGACCCATTGATTGTTGTTTGATATTAATGAAAGCTGTTTTGGTGATAGCCACACATGTTTAAGGAATGTCAAATATGTTGGAAATAAAATGGAAGGAATTTGGAATCTTTTTTATTTAATTATTATAAATTATAAAATAAAGTAAAATGGTATAAACATGTGCATACATGAACCTAGGTTATAGAGACAATCCTATTTGTGGTCAAGGTTGGTGATGAAAATATTTTGGTGTAAAAATATTTTATCGATAAAAGTGACAAAGTGACAAAGGGCAAAAAGTCAAAAGTCAAAATGTATGGCAAAGGTGATAAAGGTGACAAAGGTGACAAAAGTATAAAATCATGTTTCTTGGACACTTATGTAAAATTTTAACAGGAATCGCTGCTTCACATTTATTGTTGGTTTCATAACTTTCTTCAGAATCTGTAGAATCATCTGATAATTGTTGAAATACTTCTTCATTTACTAGTTCTAAAAATTCATTCATTGATTCATTAACTAATTCTAATGGGTCATACATAATCTGAATTATTATTATTATTATAATCTTCTAATTCCGTATCCTCGTCCATTTTATCACTGTTTTCTATTTTTTTTTTTTTTAATAATTGGTTTATTTTTATTGTTGATTTCGTCATTTTCGTCACTTATCAAATCCCTTAAAATGTATAAATTATATTTTTGTCACCCAACTTTGATGAATAATAAGAATATTTCATCCAAATTTCCAACGACAATAATATTTTACAAATAATAAAAAGATCGAATTCTTATAATCCTACACAATTAAAACCTTTGAAAATGTCCCAACAACAATCATCATCCATTAAAAAACGTGTATATATTCTGAATAAAAATGTGAATTATATTTATTTATTAAAATAAAATAAAATGTATTTATATTTATATTTATTGCTATTGTAATTTATTAATATATATTTATATTATTTATTAACATTTATATTTATATTTATTAATACATATTTATTAATATTATTGTATTTATTGTTCATTTAAATAAAATTTATATTACTATTGTATATTATTGTATTTAATATTCATTTATTTAATAACCATTAAACAATATGAATCTAATAGTAATGAAATTTTGCAAATAAGTAAGAAAATATAAATAAAATTAATCCTTAGTCATAATGACTGTATCCATTCAAACCATTATTTCTTCGTGGGCTTTAAACTTATTTATCCAAGTGAATCTTTTTGGTTATTTAATCATTATAATTATAGCATTTACGGAGGTGTAGAAGATGAAGTAGCTTTTGTAGTATCGATATTGGTGGTGTTGGTAATAGTGGGTATTAATGGTGTTTTTGTAGCAGTGGCAGCAGCAGCAGCAGCAGCAGCGCTGGTTGTGGTGGTTAAAGGAGGTGACGATGATGATGGTGGTGATGATGAGGATGTAAGAGTTATTCCTTTATCAGATGCTCCGAGATTTGAGGATGATGGGTTGATAAGAGCAGCTGATAGATCAACAATGGCTTGAATGCCTTTATCACTTGTAGAAGATTCTTCAATATTTTCAAATGGTTGTTCTTCGTCGTCAGCTGATGAATTATCAATAACAATATTATTTGGAGATTGAGTAACTACTTCTTCTTGAAGTTTTTCAGCAACAGAAGAATCTTCTTGTTCAGCCAAAACTTGTTCCCAATCTATACTGTTGTCTACAGCAGCTTCAAGATCGGCAAAACTTCTACATAAAGGACATAAAAATCCTGAATGATGAGAAAACAAAGTTGGCCGTATGCATTTGTAATGAAAAACATGCGAACAAGGTGCAAGAAATAAAGCTTGATAAGGTCCAATTCCACCCAAACAAATACAACAATCAACTATTTGTTGTTTTGTTCCTTCTATATTTCCCATTTGAGTTATTTGCTTGAATTGTTTTAAAGCATTTAAACTATAAATTATTAAACATTAATTATATTAATCATTAATCATTTAATGAAAATTATATATATATATATATAAAGATTATATAAAAACCTAAACTGATTAATTGGTCTTCTCCATGAATAATTTAATTCTATTCTCATCTTCACACAACGATAAATTTCTATATATATAATTAATTAATAATCAAAATAATTAAAACGTATTGTTGGCGAAATAAAAATAAATTTCTTTACCTTCAGTTCCGCCTTGGTAGTCAACACCAAGTTGTACAACATCTCCATCATTTAACAAGAATGCTTTACTTTCTGAATTTGGAGGTGACAATCTTACATGATTAAGAAATGTTCCTGAAGAAGATTTAGTATCTTTTATGAGAAACTTTACAAAAAAAAATAAACCGGTAATTATATTATTAAAAATTTAATTATTTAATTATCAGATAAAAAATAGTTGTCATTGTTGTTGTTGTTATTGTTGTTATTACTATTATTATACCTTTCCTTCACTACACCAAATTTCAGCATGGCCTCTTGAAACAACTTTACTTTTAAAAGCTACTCTGTTTGGAACATGAGCTTTATCAGTAAAACGTCCTATTTTAATCACAACATCTTCAGGCACTTCTCTTTCAATGATGTTAAAATGTAAGGAACGAGAGCCTTCAATATGAGGTACTATACGGAGTGCAGGGACTTTAGGTTTTTGATCTTGAGACAACGCCTGTAATTCTGGTGACATTTCACAAGTAACTAAGACCAAACATAAAGTTTCATATTTATTATAATTAGATGGATTAGTTTAATAACAATAATAATAATAATAAATATTTATTAATTATTATTATTATTACCTTTTCTCGAAAAAATACTTAGTTATTATTATCTGATGTATTGGCATTATATTATTAAATTATAAATAACTCGGTTACTTCAAAAAAAAATTTATAATATTTTTAATTAAAAAAAAATATGTATTAAAAGACCATACATACCTTTCTTTATACTTTAACTTTGCTTTGCATTTATATATATTTATATTTATTTTTTTTATGATTCGTGTAACGAAAATTTGGAGTAAACATTTTTACCCTTTTAATTGTTCATTTAAAAAAACATGACTATCAATTTTTCCCTATTATTGAAAGATGAAACTTTTAATTTCCTCTAACACTAACGAAAATATAAGACAAACATATCCATATTAATATTGATAATTACTTCGGAATCCTATGTATGGTGCTGTGTGATATTTGCTAAAACTTGTGCTATTAATAATTTCCTTCAATAACATAATTAAGTTGGGCCAAAATTTTCACCCCTTTTGATAAGTCGGGTCACGAGTGACTATTATTTCAAGAGCATGTGACTTAGTGTCAAAAATTTTATTATTATATAGTTAGCGCAAACTTTACTTTCTGTCCTACCTTTCGATTTTAGTTTTATTAGTTGACAGAATAGGCCTCTTGTTTAACGAAATGAAGAGATTTTCCCAAAAAAAATTATTTGTCTATTCATGTACAGCAAAACCTTGTTACAAGAAAAAAAAATTTTTTAGAGTATAATTACTAACCGCGTTACAATGAAGTCACGTGACAAATAACCAATGAAAATGCGTTAAAAATCGTATGATATGAAAAAAAACATTCATGATTTAAAAATTTAAAAATTGTAATAGTTTCCATGATTTAGAAATTATAATAAAACATGATTATTTCTACAATTTAAAATTGTAAGTTTAAACATTTTTATGAAATTCTAAAAGGTATAATAAATACAAGTCTCATTGTTTGGATGGTTATGTATTAAAAAAAAGTTACAACCATTGTCATCTAAAAAGTGAAACTTTATTACAGCTGAACAAAAAAGAGAAATTTGCTTATCAAAAAGAAATAAACCTCAACCTAAAATGTTGAATTAACAGCATAATGTGGTTATACATTTTCGTGCAAAGTTATCGAATTGGACATTTTTGTGTCAATTTTTCCCCGCCGATCACTATGTACAATTCACTCATTCATAGACGGATCGTCAATTAATGATTAATAAAAATAATGATTCTATCAGAGTTTTATTTTATTAGAATGTTAATTATCTATTGTTTTTCTCTGCGAGGACCCGAAGCTATGCTTTTTCAAACGAAGACCAGAAGTTATCCTTTGTTGATCACTACAATAAGGATAAAGATGAGTTTATTATTGAAAAGTAACTTAATCAATCAATATTGATATTGTGAAAACTTTCATAATTACTTACACAGTAATTTGATAATAATTATAAAAAGCCTTTGCGTAAACTAAAATTAGTTGACCCTGGAACATAAAGTACCGAATTCTTAATCGATGATTTTATCTACCCCGATCATGTATCACGTTATAAGAAGAAATGTTCGAGTTTAGTAGTAAATGAGTGTGTGGGAATTGATTTTGTACTCAGCAAAAGAGAAACCTGGCTTCTTGGAAACAATTGATGAAGCAAAGGAGAGATTGTGATACACAAATAAAAAGAGTTTGGAATATATATTATAAGTTTTTTTGGGAGCTTTTAAAACAATTTTATTTATTTCATCTTTGCAACGAATTTGACGTAATAATTTTACAACTTTGGTAACATTTCGTCAAACATCATTACCCTAAGGTTTACATTGCAATAACATTAGAAAAAAGAGCACAATTTGACCCATAATTTATAATATTGGGCGCGCGATGGACAATTTCAGTGACATCCGGGATGTCATGATATTGGCCGCTGCGCGCCCAATATCTTATACTTAACGTTAAAAATTTTGAAACTGTCTACTATAACGAAATTGAATTTCACCGATCGATTGATTTTTATATTTTAATGATTTTTTTTTTAAAAAAATATTTACTATATATAAGAGTAATGGTGTTTTTTTTTTTTGATGAAAAAATTTGCTATACAAAATTTTTGGTTCCATAATAAATCGTTGACTACTAATAAGCTTGACCATATTAAACCTAATACTAACCAACCCTTTTTGTAATAATAATAAGTTGACCCTATCAATGATTTTTGATATTTGAGACAATAAAACTCAATGTTCCCAAATAATTACCATGATAATAACGGTAAATTGAAAATGGCATTTTTATTATGTTTGTAATTTGAAATTATTAAAATCTTCATCTATTATTTCTCGACTCTCCCTATTGTTAATGATATTTCGAATTAAATCATCACTAAAATTAATAGAATCCAAAAATTATCCCAATAAAATATCTCATATTGTGGCAAAGTAAAACAACTGTTCGAACATATCTTATACAACAAATCTTTTCTGGGTTTTAGAGCTCTCCATAATGATTTTTTTCTATTGGTAAACTGCTTCAAGACTTGACCAATGATCTCAAAATGACAATTCTAATGTTTTAGGAAACTTCTAATTGATATTTGATATCCAAATCTTCTATTTTACTTTATTCATCTAACTTCTGAATTGCCTTCCATTTTTCGAACTACTATAGTAATATATCAAACAAAACTTAAGCTTTCTATTAGTATGTGTGGTTTCCTGTTTCTTGTTGTAAAATGCTTATTAGGCAATGGAAAACTCTAAAATCGCTATCTTTTGAACCGGATAGATAGGATTTGGGTATTTTTGTTCAGCTTCCATTTTCACCAAAAAAATTCATTGCATTGACGTGTAAAAAAAACGTCACTTCTTAAATCGCCTTTAACAAAATCCAATAGCCAATTTAAATTTATACCAAAATAGCTCAGTGGCGATAAAAAAATTATGATTATAATAAGCATATTATATTATTCGCAATTCAGACGTAATCCGCGTATATTTTTTTATTATTGTGGATTACAAGTGAGTCCTGAACAATACACACTTCTTATTTGCATGCGTTTTCTTGATGAAGTAAGTATAGATAACATGATAGTTGTGTGTTTATTTTTTAAAAAGGTCATATGAAATTTCGGATATCGGATATGATTGAAATAACAAGATTTTTTATTATTATCAAAAAGAAAAAAAACTTCTTTTATAAATTAAACGAGATGAATGTTCAATGGATAGAATAACTCGTGTCAATATTTAGGTATTTAACTCCAAATGATATGATTAAATTTTGACATAGTTTTGGAAACGAATCAATTATCTGCCACAAAAAGAAATCGGAGTTGTATCAGTGGACCATGCATAATAAGAAAGCAACCTTTGTTAAAAAATACATGACTCGAGGCAAACCCTCGATTGTTTCTTCTTTCGTCGATATCTTTTCTTTTTTTCAAATAATTCCATATAAAAATTTTAATTCACTTCTTGAATAAAATATAGCACTTCTTTGCCTGTGTACCATTTTACCAGCTCTTCCACTTTCTTGAACATGCTGACTAGAGCTTAAGGGAAAATTATAATACTTGGATCTGGTGTATTAACTAACACCCATATCAAATGCATTTGTTGAATTTCTATAATCATTTTTGTCATTCTAATCTTCTATTTAGATAATGATGGATTTTTTTTTCTTCGGTTAAATTTCCACTGAAATAGATCCATTTCACAACATATGTTTTTGAGTTTATAATTATAAATATCTAGAAAATGTTGAAACAAGCAAATGATAAAGATCAAATCACAGCAAGATTATTCTCATCTTTTCACATGGGTATGAACATCCTTTTCTGGCAGTGTTATCATTATTGAAGAATTGGGAAAAGAATATTAATCTGCTACACCATTCCAAGCTTTACAAAAATATTGATGTATGTATATATGTAAACATGGTAAGCTTCACCAATTACAAATTGAACCTTAAAAAATTTGGATATTCTTTTTAACGTCTTTTGAAAACTTAAATTTCTTGATTTGACTACTCCGTCTTTATTTCCAAAATACTCCTAATTACAAAGAAACCCACCTTATGGAAAATTAGGCACGTAAAAGATACATAAAAGATAAGTATAACTTCATTATAATTGCTTTTTTGAAAATACATGAAATCTTCCAGTGAAAGACCGTATAAAAGTAGGAAAAATGTATGCTCGGAATTAGAATTTCGCATCTTTTAATTCTGGAATACTAATTGCAGTAGCGGTAGATAATGATCTAAAAAAGTACAAATATAAACATAAAAGTTTTTAAGGTCATACTACTGCAAAACCATGTTATTTTCTTATTTACAAAAAAATTTATTATTTTTAAATATAAGTTATAAATTAAGATAATATAAATATAAAAAAAAAACTAATTAAAAATTAATTATTTTTTTCCACGTCTATTGTTACCACCGCTATTACTTGTTGGAGGGCTTTGTGAATACGAATTTATGTTATTGCCATAATGACCGTGATCACTATTTGCACTAGAAGAACTAAGTCGTCTTCTTGGTTGATTATGATGAGACGATGCTGTTCCGGTAGTTTTATTATTAGATGTGGATGATGATGTTGTTGTCTCGGCAATTGAATTATTATTATGATGAACACGATTATTACTTGTATTATTTGATATTATATTTCCTCCGTTAACATTCCTGCCATTAGAATTTGGTGTATTCTTTAAAGGATTTGTTGTCAACGATGATGTTGAATAATAAGTTGATTTATCACGAGATCTACGGGATCGACTTGATTGACTACTCAGTCTACCAATTGTTTGATAAGCTATATATATATTATATATATATATATATGTTTTTTTAAAAAAAAAGATTATTATTATTATATAAATATTTAGGTATAAAAACACAAAAGGAATTTACTTTGTCTTGTTTTCTCATGTTTATTTTGCACTGCTCTAAAATGATTTAATAATTCTTGAAATTTTATTCCTTCATCTTTTGACGATGACGATGACCCCTTGGTGGTAGTAGCACGTTTGGTATCATTTGTAGGTGCACTTTTGTTTAAAAAAAATCGTCATCATTATCATTTCAAGAATATGATAATAATTTATAATATATCTGTAATATTTAAGAATTATATAAAACATACCTTTTTGGTATCAAATGCAAAAAACCCATTGAACTAACGCTTGTAAGTCGGTTTTTTAAACTGGCAAATGCTCCACTCTGTGGAAGAAGCATCAACAAGCCATATAAGCATTTAAAAAGATATGGATATTTCTCAGGTTCAAGAAGCTGTAATCTTAAATCTTTATTATAGGATGAAATCGTTTTTGCTTAGCATTATTAAAATAATAATAGCCATGATTAAGATATTTTAATGAACACTCTACTTACATGTGAATACAGGTGATTCCAATAGTTGAACTAGTTTGTCAATTTGAATAAGTAAATTAACAGTAATATCAAGATCTGCACTATAGTAATATAAATTGTGACAAATAAATTAGGTAAACAAATATATCTACAATAATAAATATAGAGATATATATATCATATTCACATACAAGCTTTGTAAAAGATTTGCTGCATGCTCATAAGCTTGTGCCAATAAACACAGCGAAAAAGTGGCAACTGGATTATGACACCACGATTTGTATAAAGCAGTGAATAATAGTTGGCCATCTTTTGTTTCTAAATTTTTAAGTCTTTTCCGAAGATCAGAAAGCTCAGGTGAAGTTATAAGGATACTATTAAGATTTTGGACCATACTAGAAGCGAATTCTATATCCTAACGAGAACATTGATTAATTAACTAAGATATTTGCCTTTTAATTAAATAAAATTAAAAAAATAAAAGTATTAAATAAAATGGATAAAAAAATGTATGTACCTCTTCCTTTTCCAAAATTTCCGCAAAACTTCTATAAATTCTTTCAGAGTCAAGACTTAAACACAAATGACGAATAATTAAACTACCTCTCATTTCATTGATTTAATTCAATTTATTTACTTTTGTATTTTATATAGTTGGCAGCTGATACAGATCCTTCTGTTAAAAATGGAGCAGAATTGTTAGATAGATTGATCAAAGATCTTGTTGCGGAACATGCGATAACATATGTTTCTTCTTTTGCTGTTCATCCTTTTACAACAGTCAACACTACTGATTCAACACCGGATATTACATCTATTCCTCAAACAACTGCATTCTCATTGCCAAAATTCATTCCATTACTTTCAGAACGCATACATGTAATGGATCCTTTCACGCGCAACTTTTTAGTTTCGTGGATAAAAGTGTTAGATTCGATTCCTGATTTGGAATTGGTTTCCTTTCTTCCTGATTTTTTGAATGGTCTACTGCAATTTTTAAGTGATCCAAATAAAGATATAAGGTATGCGACATCTAACATCCTAGCAAATTTTTTGGCTGAAATCTGTGATGCTGCTACAATTAATGAACAACAAAAAAAATATGCTATTAAAAAATATTATATTGAGCAACAAAAACAATTAACTGCTACTATTTCTGAAGTTACTACAACCAATGAGGCAGGCGATGATGGCTTAATTGGTGGTGGTGATTATGGTGACGGTGATGTTTCCCATAATGCTATTAGTAAATTATTATTAGTTGATGATAATGGTAATTTAAAATGGGATTTCGATGATGCAGAAGGTAGAGGAAAAGGATCTTGGGTCCCGGGCCAAGGTGTTGTCATTGATTACACTAGAATAGTACAAATTTTGATGCCACATTTATCTTCACACGGTAAATAGCATGAATTTTTTGTTTGCTGTTTGATTTATTGTTATTAAAAAAAATATATATTCAATTAGTTTTTTGAATATTATTATTAT